CATACACCACCCGACACTATGGCCGGGTATGGTCACAGCACCGCCGGCGGCTTCGGCAGCGGCAGCGGCAGCGGTCCGCCAGGCCCTCAGTACATGCTCCCCCAATACGACGAAGGCGACGACCCCGATGCCGATGCGACTCCAGCTAGTCAGGGCGTCCGCCTGTTGACGAACCTCGACAACAGCTCATACATATCAGTTTCCGAAATCACCAGCCAGAGTTCACATAGAGATAATATCAGGCCGTATGTCATGCCCCTCCTCTCACAACCCCTCCATACCAATGCCTCAACCCAGACACATACCCGAACACAGAGTCCTCCCTTCCATTCCAACACCAGTCCCAAAACAAAACAAGGCCATGGCGAAGCCGTCGTGGTCAACATCCCCCCTGCCCTTTCTCCTTCCCTGTCCCGGTCAGTGCCCAACAAGGGACCAGAGAATCAGGAACATCAAACAAGAAACAAGACGGACCTGGAGACGCCCCCGACTCCACCAAACCAAAAAGAGCACGCGGCCACCACCGAAGAAGACGACTCCGACATGGGAAAGGCCGTGACGTTTGCTGGCGCGCCAGAGATACTGGGAAGCGAAGACCCCCAACAGCAATACGCCCACCTACCTCACTATCCTCCACCATACAGTCCCTTTCGACCCGAGGAACAAGATCTATTCCTTATGCGACAGCAGCAGCGACAGCAACAACAACAACAAGCGAAAGCGCAGCCGCAGCAACAAGGAGAATCTCAGCTACAGGAAGGAGGAAAGTTGCACAAGCGAAAGAGGCTGGGTCAAGTGAAGCCTCTTAAGCTGTCTGCGCCTCCACCTACTCTTGCATTGCCCACAATTCCAGAGGGAACATCCCCGCGACGAGCGTCGCTTCGGGAGGCGCGCAAGAAGAAGCAAAGAAGCAAGCAGCGGCTCAGCAACATTACCGAAGAAAAGGACTCTATAAGATCACTTACACCACCACCCTCGGTTCACTTTGGATCACCGAATAGGCGAAACTCAGAAGCAGCACGCTCACATATTATTCCTAATCACAGCAGCCGGTTACGACAAGCTTATGAGCCTTCGATCGACGCCCGCACCTACGAACCATCACTAGATACCCGAACATACGAACCCTCGATCAGCGATCGACGACACATGTACGAACCCTCCATCGACGAACGATCATCATACATGGACCCCCCACGCATCCCACCACCCGACGGCGGATCTTACGTTTCTTCCTACATGGGCACCGAGAGCATGGTTTCGGGACACGGGAGACCATGGAGTCCCGTATCAACAACGGATTATCGAGTTCCACCACAAGGACGGTACGAGCCTTCGGAAATTGATGGTCATGCCAGGCCAGGGACACCGGGATCGAGTTACGGAAATGCGAGGCGACCGCTTCCCTCGGCACCAGCGCCTTTACACTACAATAGCCCAAGTCGCGCAACGAGCCATTATCCACGGTACCACGGAGCAGGAGGTTATGCGGACGACGTGACAGTTAGCATGGGACCGGACGACGATCGTACAGATATCTTTGGCCCCGAAACCGATCTCAGCGAAACGCGCCACCTCAACGACGCATACGGGTTTCGGTCATCCCAGATCACCCTTAGCGAAGATCCCCACGGCACCCACGCGCGTTCCCGGTACGACGACGAAGACGATGTGAGCACCACTTATTCCTCCAACACGGGCACCAGCGCTTCAGGCGTCGACAAGTTCGAGCATTACGGTCCCATTCCGGAGGAAGGCAAGCACGAGCGGCGCGGCGTGCGACCACCACAGATGTCGAGGAAGGAAGTCCAGCTCATCAACGGCGAACTCGTTCTCGAGTGCAAGATTCCGACTATATTGTATTCGTTTTTGCCCAGGAGGGACGAGGTGGAGTTTACGCACATGCGGTACACGGCCGTCACTTGTGACCCTGATGACTTTGTTGCCAGGGGTTACAAGTTGCGCCAGAATATCGGTCGTACTGCCAGGGAGACGGAGCTGTTCATCTGCGTGACCATGTACAACGAGGACGAGTTCGGATTCACACGGACTATGCACGCAGTCATGAAGAATATTTCACATTTTTGTTCCCGAAACAAGAGTAGGACGTGGGGAGCGGATGGGTGGCAGAAGATTGTGGTCTGTGTGGTTTCGGATGGACGAGAGATCATTCACCCCCGGACCTTGGACGCCCTCGCAGCCATGGGCGTATACCAGCACGGTATTGCCAAGAACTTTGTCAACCAGAAGGCGGTGCAGGCCCACGTTTACGAGTACACGACACAAGTGTCTCTGGACAGCGACCTCAAGTTCAAGGGCGCCGAGAAGGGCATCGTGCCCTGCCAGATGATTTTCTGCTTGAAGGAGAAGAACCAGAAGAAACTCAACTCCCACAGATGGTTCTTCAACGCCTTTGGTAAAGCCTTGAACCCGAATGTGTGTATCCTTTTGGACGTCGGAACCCGCCCCGGCGGCACAAGTCTCTACCATCTCTGGAAAGCCTTCGACACGGATTCCAACGTGGCGGGGGCCTGCGGGGAGATTAAAGCGATGAAGGGGCGGTTTGGCGGGAATTTGCTCAACCCTCTGGTGGCTAGTCAGAACTTTGAGTACAAGATGAGTAATATTCTGGATAAACCGTTGGAGTCGGTGTTTGGGTACATCACGGTGTTGCCAGGCGCGTTGTCGGCGTATCGGTACCATGCGCTGCAGAATGATGAGACGGGCCATGGGCCGTTGAGTCAGTATTTCAAGGGCGAGACGCTCCATGGGCAGCACGCGGATGTGTTTACGGCGAACATGTATTTGGCGGAGGACCGAATTCTGTGTTGGGAGTTGGTGGCCAAGAGGGGTGAGAGGTGGGTGTTGAAGTATGTGAAGGGGTGTACGGGTGAGACGGATGTGCCTGGTGAGCTGCCCCCTTTTTGTCAATGTGATGATGATATACTAACGAGTTGTGATAGACACTGTCCCGGAATTCGTCTCGCAACGTCGTCGTTGGCTCAACGGTGCTTTCTTCGCCGCCGTCTACTCCCTCGTCCACTTTCGACAAATCTGGAAAACCGACCACACCTTTATGCGCAAAGCCCTTCTCCACGTCGAATTCCTCTACCACCTCCTGCAACTCCTCTTCACCTACTTCTCCCTGGCCAACTTCTACCTCGCCTTCTACTTCATCGCCGGCGGTCTCGCCGATCCCCACGTCGACCCTTTCAACTCGGACGGCCACGTCGCGCGCATCATCTTCAACATCCTCCGCTACGTCTGCGTACTGCTCATCTGCACACAATTCATCTTGTCTCTCGGCAACCGTCCGCAGGGCGCCAAAAGGATGTATCTCGCATCCATGATCATCTACGCCGTCATCATGGTGTACACCACCTTTGCCACCATCTTTATCGTCGTGCGACAAATCAAACCCTCTCAAAAATCCGACGACAAGCCCGACCTCGAACTCGGCAACAACGTCTTCACCAACCTGATCGTCTCCGTGGCTAGTACCCTCGGGCTCTACTTGGTCATGTCCTTTCTCTATCTCGACCCCTGGCACATGTTCACCTCGGCCATCCAGTACTTTGTCCTGCTGCCTTCCTACATCTGCACGCTCCAGATCTACGCCTTTTGCAACACCCACGACGTGACATGGGGCACCAAAGGCGACAACGTGATGCGCACCGACCTCGGAGGCGCCATTGGCAAAGGTAGTACCGTCGAGTTGGAAATGCCTTCGGACCAACTCGATATCGACTCGGGATACGACGAATGTCTGCGGAACCTGCGCGACCGCGTCATGGTCCCCGCTGTTCCCGTGTCCGAAGACCAGCTGCAGCAGGATTACTACAAGTCGGTGCGCACGTACATGGTGGTGTCGTGGATGGTGGCCAACGCGACGCTGGCCATGGCGGTCTCGGAAGCGTATGGGGATTCGGAGATTGGGGATAATTTTTACTTGCGGTTTATCCTGTGGGCGGTGGCGGCCCTGGCGCTGTTTAGGGCGTTGGGGTCGACGACGTTTGCGGCGATTAATCTGGTGAGTGCTCTCGTGGAGGGCAGGGTTAGGCTGAGGTTGAATATGAAGGGGTTTAGGTGGATTAAGGAGAAGTGGGGGGATGCGGATGTGAAGGGAAAGTTTGAGGGGTTGGGGGATCGGGCGAGGGGGTTGGCGAGGCGGTGATGTCTTGTTTGTTTGGGATTCGATTCTGTTTTATGATTTTCATGCCTGCCGTGATTACGTTGTGGTCAGGCAAGCAGCGAGCAGCAAGCAGCAAGCGAGCGAGCGAGTTCGTTTTCTTCTTCTTCTTTTCTTACGACATCTCACGACGTTACGAGATTCTTCTTTTACTTACTTACTTACTTACTTACCTACCTTTTACGGATGGGGGATGGGGATCATTTGGGAATAAGGGATATGGAAAGGGCTGGTGGCCTTTTGATGGATATAGTATTGTTTTTTTTTTTTTTTTTTTTTTTTTTTTTTTTTTTTTTTTTTTTTTTTTCACCGAGTTGATGATACCACATTATTGTATGGATTGTTTGTTTGTTTGTTTGGGATGGACGTATAGGGCTCAGCTGGCTAGCTACTACCTAAGGATACCAATGATTTGATTGATACCATTAATACCACCAACAGTTTGGTAGCTATGGTTAATGCAGGATTATAGCAACTGACCATGTTTGTTTACTTGTGTCCTTTGTTATGTTGATGTGAAGATTGTTTATGGTGCAGATACAGAGAGAGATATTGAGTTGGGGAGATGACGATGAAGTTGGGGAGTTGTCTTCTCCCTCGCTTTGTCCTATTGTAGGTACCTAGCCAGTTCTTTCAGGTCTACCGTCTTACCTTACTATACTAATTACTTGTGAACTTGAAGAATTAGAACTATATAAGCATTCCTGGAAAGAACTTATCATTTGTGCTCTAGAGGTGTCGCCGATATTCTATTCTGTTCTAGTTACTATTCACAGACTGGCGGGACCAAAATGACTGCGCTACGATACGTGTGGCGGGGAGGAAGTGGATGGGGGGTTAGCCTAGGTGGTCAAGGTTGAACGTCTGTCTGTCATGAGTAGTGTAGAATAACATATATGACTTATAGATGGGGTCGCCAAACTGGGGCGCCGAGCAAGCAACGTAAATAACCACAAAGAAAAAAAAAAAGAAACAAAAGTATTGACGACTTTTCACAGCACCGCGCAACCGATAGATACCTACCTACCTACCTACCTACCTAGCTAGCTAGCTAGCTATGTTGCTTCCGTATCTCCCTCCCCTGGTGGAAGTCCCATCAGACCTTCCCTTCACGCACCATGTCTCTCCCTCAATTTATCCATCCATCCATCCATCCATTCAATTCATTCGTTCATTCCTCCACCGGCAACGTAATGTACTCCCGCGGCTTAACCACCTTTCTTTTCGGCACCCCCTGCGAAGTGCGGATCTTGTGCAAAAAATCAACAATGATATCGTTCTCCTGGACGCCCAGCCCATTAAAGTGCTTGCGCACCGTGCTGGTCAACTGGTCCTTGCTTTGCCTGCGGTATTCCCTGCGTCGCGCAATCGTGGGCGAGTAGAGCCCGACGCTGCCTGGTTGGGTGAGGACCCATTGGTGGACGGGGTTCGCGTAGGCGGTGGGGGTCTGGAGGCGGTAGGCTCGGCGGTAGGCGTGGAGGACTTCGCGCTCAAAGGCGGGCCATTGGAGCTTTGAGAGAGAGATGGGTTAGCTTGTGGACGGTCAATGGGAGGGGAGGGGTGGGGTGGGGAAGTTAATTGCGATTGGGACATTGAGGGATTGGGAAGGAGGAAGTCAACGTACACCTCCTGAGTTGCTTGTCTCTGATTGTGTTGTTGTTGTTGTTGTTGTTGTTGTTATCGTAGTCGTCGACGCTGTTGTCGTCGTCGTCGTAGGATGCGGATGCGAAGTAGGACCGGCGGCAAGAACGGCGGCGGCGTTGGTCACCTCACGCAGGCTCGAGCCCGTGGAACTTGCGCCTCGTCGCATCTTGGTGCCTCCGGTATGGCTATTCTTCTTTCCTGCTCCTCCTGCTCCTCCGCCTCCTCCCTCGTGGGGAGTGTCTGGCTTGTCGTCGTGGTTTTGGTTCTTCCTTGGTGGTGCCATGGCGTACTACAGGGTTTTGTTACGGGACGAGAAACGGATCGAAGAGTGGACTGACTGAATCGATTGGAGGAGCGTCTGGTTGTCGCGTAAACTTCAATCAAATCGGAACGGTGGGTGGTTATGGTATCGAGCAGAGGAGAGCTTCGGGTTGGGTGGTAGTATGGTGTGTACGATTCGTAGTGGCTTTTGGATCACATCGTAAGGTCCAAAGTGGTGGTGGTGGGCGGCTCTGAGGCAGTCGTCGTGGTGGTGTTGCGGTGACCCAAAGTGGCATTGGAGTGTGCCTGTCGGGTGAGAGGGGAAGGAGGACTGGAGACGGGAAAGACGGGTGGGCTGGGATCTTGGGATGGGCAATCGTAGGTCAGGTCAGGTTGGGAAGAGATTGCAATAGTAAGGAAACCTGGGCTCCGGCCGGCACACACACGCCGCTGGTGAGCCGGATGATCCCTGGAAAGCTCTGACGACAGACACTTGACTTTCTCCTCCCGTCTCATTGTAGTGAGTGTGCCTAGAGGTACTTACTTGACGATAGCGTGTGGCTGGGCACATTATCGGCCCATCTGAATGGTCAATGTACTTTCCCCTCACAAATGGAGAGATGATCTGAGCTTCTATCATGGGCCCCGCCCGTTTAAAGTGTTCAAACGCCTGCCACGAACGCGAACGCGCGAGTCCAGCCAGCCATTTAAAAGTGGATCCCAAGATTCAGACGAAAGACACATGCTGCCCCTGCCGAGCCTGCTCTTTTACTACTATTGCATTGCGTCTGGCAGAAGCCAGATTCCCGCAGTGGAAATAAAAAAAATCTCTCTCAAAAACTGTTAAATGCGGTTTTGGGTATGCCGTTTGAATCGAGTATAACTCTAGAGGTAATCATATATAACCTGAAGCGGGATCACCACGACCGCTGCTGGACTGAATCTGGTAACTCTCAGGCGTCACCTCAACAGACAGTCAAATCGAGACCAAGTGTGGATTTTTGGAGTCTCCTATGTAATCATCAAGCCTGGCGGTATAAACAGTTAGTTGTCCATGGTTCATCCCAGGTGCAGAAAAATCATGGCCAGGGTAGCTCGTGGACCTGGCGAGCTTGACAGGGCTGAGGTTCCATAAGAGAGAGCTTCCAGAATGTCCTACTGTAGGTATGTAGGCATTTGTCGAGTTGAAGAATGATTGCGGGGAAGATCCAGGGCATCCCACGTTCCTGTCTCATCATTATTTATTCGTCTAAGGCTTCTCGAACTGTTCGCCTAGAATCAGAGAAACAGGTTCGGGGTTCACCCGTCCGTTCGGGTTGGGGGTCGCTCCGCGGGTATATGTATGTGACAAGGCGTCGACAATGGTGGCGCATAGGTACAATGTGATGGTTAGTTAATTTGATATCGGGGCGTCGTCCGTCACGCGCGAAAGATTGACTTGTGTTATTCTGACAACGGTATCAATTGGGAACTGTCTGTTTAATGAGACCCTTTATTGTTCTTGGTTGTTTGGCGTGCCGGACCAGAATATCTTGATGATTGTGAAGATGACTGAGACTGCAGACTACGTACCATACACGATATGCTAGAAGTAGGCTTGAGGTATATTCCAAGATTTATGTAGGACCTGTGGTGTTGTTACCTAAGCGAGGTCGCGACTGCAAAGAGACGTCGTGGACTCTTGGGTAAATTACCGATCCAACTGAACAAAGTCAAGTCAATGGAATAGGCACACACAGCCTGGCATTCTCGGTTTTACATAGTATGTCGGGCCGGTCTCCTGTTGTCAGCATGAGTGGATACCTATTATGTAGGTCAATCCTTTTCCAGATCTCGTACATACGGCAAAGATGCTACAGAAGCATACATATGATGCCCCTGAGACCCATAGGGATCGTCACGATACAATGCCCGGCTGTAAGCTTGCAGGTTCCCTTCGCGTGGGAAGTGGAGGCCGGCCGGCCGTGTTGGCACGTCAATTCCGCCGAGAACACACGATAGCTTCAGGCACAAATGGCACCTCGTCATTTTCACATGGCCCGTCTTTCGTTCAATGCAGAATGTCACCTTTAATCTACAGATAGTACAGTGGCGTGACGTCGGTCGACTATAAAAGACATGGAAGGTCGGCGGATACACTGGTAGAGGTGATGGAGGTAATTCTATAATACGGTAGTGTACAACCTATACACTACTTGGGACCGACCCCGGAAGGTGGGGCCGTTGCACCCCAATCGCACGCTAGGGTCGGACCAAGAACGGCCCCGCTTAGCGTAGGTGGTGGACTCGTGTGCTACATACCCCCCGTCTGGCCTGGCCCGGGCTAGACGGGAGGGAGGCACCTACCTAGGCACTCCCCCATCCTCTCCCCTCTCCATAAGTTCCCAGAGAGACCCGACCCCCCACACGGAGGAACTCCAGTCTTCCAGTCTCGCGCACTGCACTTCCCCAGACATTCTCCCCTTGGGTCAACAGGAACTGAACCTACCCACGTTCAACCCGCGCCGGCAGACGAAAGAAGACAAAGCAAGGCCACTTCGTCCGCCTGATTGACAGCGGCAATCTTTCACACGGATTACACACGATCCTTCGGACATCAGTGTCAGTCGTTTGTGTCGGTACATGTTGATCAACTCCATCAAACTCAAACGACTATAGACGTTTTCACACAAAGTAGGTATGTTATATCTCCATCAATCATCATGATATAGACGACCATGTTTCCCTGCCCCACCTATCCCAGCATTCAGATCCCTCCGGCGTCGGCAGTCTGCAGTCTCATCTCATCAACAAGCGTTCGAGAAGGCCTCATATTAGGTGGTCTCGTGGATATCATGGGTAACCCCGGGCATGTCACCACTCAGAGCAGTGCCAGCGCATTCTTGACGAGACACAGGCCACCTGACATGCCGAACTCTTCTCCTTTGGCACGTCATTGTGTTACAACTCAAGTTTGAAGAGTCTTCCTACTTTTCATCAAACAATTATTCGGGACAAGGAACTCTGCGTGATCCTTCATGCTGGCACTGGCTGGCGCTTATAATCTGTCACTTTTCACTGCCGTTCTTGGGTCGTACAAGGTGGCTTTCCAACAATGTGCTTGTCTTCATGTCTTGTCTTTTCAGTCTTCCATCCTTTCCGCTCTCTTCAAGACACAGCCTATCGATGGATACCCTGTCTTCTTTTCTGAAGCTATTCAGTCTCCCCATGTTCCAGAGGTCCCTACTTGGGCTTGGTGAACCCTCCTGCTTGCGTGCAGTTCTAGTGTAGGTCTTACAACGAGCATCAGCACCAATGAGGCAAAGGGACCTGTGGGCAAAAAGGCTGGGCCGGTTCTTGTTGGATGGACCGGACAAACAGTGTTCCCAAGGAGCCGTGTCCCGTTCGCTTGAACGACGCCTCCCAAAGTACATAATCCAGCCTCTAGCAAATATTACTCTGCTGGCTGCTGACTACCCCTCCCGTTTTGTCCACCCCCGGTCGCTTTCCCGACTCTCATTCGAATCCTGGTCCCTTCCGGCCTTCAGGCGCCTTTTCCTAATGCGCCCAAGCTGGCGTCCATCGCCATGGATCCGTTCCCAGCGAGCTAGTTACTGATCATTCCCACTCTAGTTCTAGTAGGTCGTCTAGGTCGCCGGGTATTTCTCCCCCTAACAAGTCTTGACGAGAAACAACAAACAATCGCCTTCTCCAGGCTATCCGCCACGCTACGAACTTCACAGTCCCCGCTCTAACTTCCCCAAAAGCTTCTCCTAGTGCGGGGTGGCTTGGCCAGTCTGATGCCGACGGACCCTTTGTACCTACCAGCCATGATATCCTGAGCCTCAGACCAGCTTGTCTCGGCGAAAAAGACATCTTGTCCCAACACCACCAAGCCCCCGTGGGCGCGCAGTGGCCAGGATCGGGCCTTCAATTTGTCTCCCCGCGTTCTGCTCCTGACTTCTGTTACACACTTCGGTTCTTTGCCGGAACAAAAACCATCACCGGGCACACTTGCTGTTCATCTGGATCGTGTACCACCCCCCTCCAAGACAGGCGACCCTGATTTGTTCTTGCTCGTGGGCCAGGCAGTTCGACCGCCGTTGCGCCAGCCCTCCATCCTCTAGCCCCTCCTATCCCGGCGCGTGTCACCTTGACCGACACCAAGTGCGACGTGACCCTACCGAGGCCGGAGTCCCCATTCACAAACCAGGCCATCATGACTTCGGTGCTCCCATCACAGTCTTCCGATATCAAACCTCCTCATTCAGACTGTCTCCCAGACGGAGCCATGCCTCAGTATCAGGAGCCCACGCCTCCTCATAATATCAAGCAGGAAGATGAACAAGAGCGGGGCCGTCGTCGTAGTCGATCTGATGACAAAGATGTCGAAGGGCTCGACCTAGAGGATATGGAAGACGGTGATGGAAATGGGAATGATGCCCACTCGTCCAATGAGGAAGGGCCCGCAAGGAAACGACGCAGAAGCCGCAAGGGTCTGGACAAGAAGTTCGAGTGCCCCGAGCAGGGTTGCGGGAAGAGCTACTCCAGGGCAGAGCATCTGTATGTGAACCCTTGTTTATACGCACATTCTGCATGCTAATCTTCTCTTTGATAGTTACCGGCATCAGTTGAACCACAATCCCAAACAGGTATACAAGTGCGGAATTGGTGATTGTCAACGGACATTCGTGAGGCTTGACCTTTGCAACCGTCATAAGGAACGCCACACAGCCAAAGGGTCAGCACTGAGCAGAAAAGACTCCTTGATGTCCCTGGCCTCCCCGACAACAGATGGCCGTCCCCCTTTTATGGCCCAGGGCTCTGCATCTCCAGAAACGAACCGTCTGGGTAATGGTAAAGGCAGGACCCTTTCCATGCAGTTCAACTCACCCAAGGATGCCATGGGAAGCCCATATACGCCCATGACTGCCAGCGCACCCACAAACGGCTACTCCAATGGCATCGACTACATGCAGCATGATGCTCACTATCAGCACATGGCAGGACAAAGATCTCTTCAACATTCGCCAACTGGACCTCAACGGCCGTCAGTGCAGACAAATGTTGGCCCTTATGGGGTGCTGTCTCCTGTTTCAACGCAGCCGGGGTACCATGGTCATTCTGTCAACACATCGCAGTCTGCGGTCCCATATGTCACACCGCAGAATTTTCCTCCTTTTAGTTTACCTCCATCAGATTTCGCTACGACGTCTCCCGCAGCCGTTGTAAGTAGGGAAGCCCAACAGCAAGCCTATGTGCCCTTGACGACTGCAGAGTCTTTTGATCACCACCCGCAAGATACTGGGGAGATTGTGCGGCTGGATCAGATGAGTATGCAGCAGACAATGCCAGTCTTTGGCACTGACAGCATCCTCAACAAGTCACCATATGTTGGAATGCCTGAAGATTTTATGGCCTACCTGTTCAACACCCATGGTGAAGGATCACCCACCGTAGTTCCTGTTCAGGGACTAAAGTAAGAATCACCGGAAATCATTCCCCGTTCGCTCTGCTAACTTGAAGTCAGTTATGGGGAGTTCTCTACCAACCAGTATCCGTTCTACAACGATCCCAGTCAGATGGGCTACTTCCCACAAATGGCTCCTCAACAAATCATGTCCGTTGAGAACCTGCTGGACCAAAACCTCCCCGAATCAGTAATTTCCGATCCGAAGAGCGCCGAGATTTTCGAACTTATCAAGGAACGGTTCCACGAAAACGGCCACACGCCGATTGAGAGGCAGCGCGACAACATTCTCGAGGGCGACCGCAACAACGAAAACCACATGTTGAGCCGGAAGATGATGCAAGCCTACATTGTGTCTTACTGGCTCCATTTCAGCGACCAGATTCCCATCCTTCATAAACCTACCTTTTCTCCCGACAAAACACCAAACTTGCTCCTGATCGCTATGATGACCATTGGCGCCGCATGCCTGGATAAGGCGTACGGTCAGAAGGTCACCAAGGCGGGTGCCGAGCTGTCCAACTTTTTAGCCTGGCATCTAAGATGGGAGATGTTCCAGGACCCCAACTGCCGGCCACCAGCCAAGCTTTGGGTATTCCAGACGCTCCTGCTTCTCGAGCTGTATGAGAAGATGTACTCGACGAGAGAATTGCACGAAAGAGCCCATATTCACCACGCAACGACTATCACGTTGATGCGTCGTGGCAGGGCCTTGATCGGCAAGTCGGCTTTGGATTCTCCCCCGAACCCGAGGGATGATAAAACCAATGGTTCGAGACATTCGTCAACTTCGGGCATGGCTCACACGCCAGACGAGTGGTGGAATCATTGGATTACCAATGAAGCGACTCGTCGTGCAGCATTTGCAGCCTTTGTAATTGACTCGATTCACGCCACCATGTTTGGCCATTCGACCGTCATGGTGGCCCATGAGATGCGCCTACCACTACCGTGTGACGACAAGCTTTGGAAGGCAAAGAGTAGCGCAGAGGTGGGAAAGATTGAGGCGGAGCTCATGTCACAGGGCAAGCCGATTGGGTTTCTCGATGGGCTCAAGCGGACGTTGAACGGCCAGACGGTGCAAACCAACTCATTCGGTCGCACCATTCTGATGGCGGGTCTGCTGAGCGTCAGCTGGCACATGAACCAGAGAGACCTCCAGGTTAATTCCCTTGGGGCTACCACGGCTCTTGGAGGTCGCGACAAGTGGCGGACCACGCTTACCCGCGCGTTCGATTCCTGGAAGAAGGAATTCGACCGGGCTTTAGAGGAGAAGCGAGGCGACATGGCTGACCCTTATTTCTTTGGAGTCAGGGGCAACGAGACCGACGTGGTCTTCGAAAGTCGCGTTGTCTTGCACCACTTGGCGCACATGGCCATGCACATCGACATTGTCGACTGCCAGATCTTTGCCCGAGCCAAGCGCCTGTTGGGCCGAGCAATTGGCGCGCAAGATCTCAGCAGCGCTACACGTCGCATGAAAGACCAGTGGGCTCCCTCGGCCAAAGCCCGCGACGCAACGTTCTACGCCCTGCAATTCTTGCAATCCGTTTTACTCCCAACCGGCTCCGGCTCTCCCCAATCCAACGGCTACAGCAGCCATATGGACGAAGAATACTCGGCCCGCGACGACGTCCTCCTCAACCGACCCTGGGTCTTGTACTTTGCCGCTCTCGTGGTGTGGTGCTACGGCTATGCTCTGGAGGGTGCATGTCCCGGGCTTCCCATGCCGACTACCCACCAGGATGCCGTCCGGCAGATGCGCGAGTACCTGATCAAGTATGGCAGCATTCAGTCGCCGGAGGATCTCAAGTCGATGAGGGGTATCAACCAGAATACGGCGCTGTTGGTGGTGTTGAAGGACACATTTCGAGTGACGAGGTGGGAGTTGCTTCATGAGGGTGCAACGCTGTTAAATAACTGCATTCTTTTGAATGCTGGGGCGACTGTACCTTGATTGTAGGTAGTCTTTGCAGCTCTCATGACTTGGGTTTTACGCGGTCCGTATTCCAATCTTGTCGGCGAAGGGCGTAGTTTTGGCGGTGGAAGGCGATTATAATGTTCAAGGGGAAACAATGTTGACGTTGAAGGTATGACGAGCTGAGATGATGGCATGGTGGTACATGAAGGGGACTGAGCTGTATACCTACGAGAGGACGTTTTCTGCGGTTGTGGTGGTTCTGAGTTGTGAGTCTTTCACCACACATAGGTCATTTCATGTATACCCCAGCTGTTTGTTTTGTGGTTTTCATTTTTGTTATTTTCTCCTTCTCACAAATGGGTGGCTAGCGCTGCGTTTCTGGCCTGATTATATAACAAAGCACCTCCTCACTTGCCCTTGTCCCTCGGCTTTACAAGCATTATCTCCGGTTTGCGGCACTGTTCACTTGACGAAAGCGTTTGCGTGGTACAATGAGTGATTCGATCATTCCATCCCCTCTGATTCGATTCCCGAGGGGTAACATTAATGACCCATCCGGAAAGTCTGTTGGGGAAACCCCTCCTCAGTCTATCTTTTGGACTTTTGACCTGATGCGTTTTCTGTAAAGCTGCTTCATTCTGCCGTCTGTTGCCTGTCACCTTCGGTCATTACAACACCCGACATTAACACAGCTCGGACCGTCTTTGCATTGCGGTCTGCATAACGCACCTACATGTGTGCCTCGCGTGCATTTACGATCGATCGTCTGTTCCTACTTACCCCCTCCCAGGCAACCCATGGACTCTGCCCATCATCCAAAGCAAGTGAAGCTCACCTGTGAAAGTGTCTACCCAAGGTACTTACTTGCCTTGGTAATTATCACCTCACAGTGATCAACGACTCCCCCGGGTTCCTCTTCTCATAAAAAGTTCAATATCAGAACATCATCCTTTGTTTCAAATCGTTCGATCACCTTGCCGGGAATCTCGGCCAAGAGATTGATTGCCAAGGGAGCTCTCCCTCTCGCCTAACATCTCCTCGATGCTGATGCCAACATCACCAACGTATCTCATGCCAGCATCTTGACACTTGTTATATCATACGGTGACTTGACTAACCTCAAATTGCATTCTTCGTTGACTCTTTTTTTTTTTTTTTTCTCGTCTTCCGCCGACCTCGCTACCTCTAGATATACTCACAGGCCTGCCCACTTGGCTCCTAAACTCGCTCCCGTCTTGACATCTCACAATTGGTTCTTGTCAAAAATACTACCCCCTTCCGACGTCGACTAAGATCAGCCACTTGAAGTGAAACAAGCAATCGCAAGTCAAAATGGTGCTCCTCACTCAGCTTCCCTCGGAGATCATCAACAACATCTTTGGCTATGTGGCGCCCGACGATTTACCCAGTCTTCGAAGCATCTGCCGACGGTTGACGGAACATGTCAAAGGAAATGCAGTTCTACATCGTGACATCTATTATCGGTACTTGGTGTGTTGCCGACTTCTTCATCCTCTCCTCAGACATGATGCTGACTGACACTACCCAGGACGAACCACCAGAAGATGTGGATTGGGAGCAAAGCCTCAACGATCTGGCCAAGTTGCGCAGACTGTGTGGACGGGAGTACGAGGTAAGCTCTCACAACGACGATATTCGTGCTGTGAAGGGTTCAATCATCAAGACATGCTTCACTCCCAAGATGCTTCGGGTTACCCAGCTAGCTAACAGCTCACTCACCCCATCCAGAACTTTGAAGTCTCATGTCCCAACATACACATGCCCAAAATGACCTTTGTCTACCACGCCGTCACCAACCTTCTCAAAGCCATTCCTCCATCTTCTTCCCTGTCAGCAGCCCGCAGCGAGCAGCACAGCACCCAACAACCAATCTCCTCCTCCTACTCCCCCTCGCGAAACGCCGCCATCCTCTCCAACCTCTTCTCCAAAGAATCCGTCCGCAACGCCTTCCTCCAGGGCTCCCAGCTCTACGAGCGCGCCCACTGCTTCGACTACCTCCCCATCCCCATGCGCACCATCATCGACCTCGAGCGCTCGCGCTACGTCCGCATCCCCGTCTACATCGAATACCAACAACAATCCGCCAAGATGCACTGCCACTTTGGCGTCGGCGTGCAAGCCCCCGCCACCCTGACGCTGCCCAACAACCCTGCGCTCTCGTCCTCGCTGAACATGAACCCGTACCCGCCTCCTACGCCAGGCACCAACGCGCACGCCACCCCGCCCAGCCCGCCGCTGCCTACCCGCGACGGTCAGCTAAGGTCAGCCTTCTTCGGACGCACCTCGCTTGTGCCGAGACTGTATCCGTACGCCGTTAGCAAGGTGTATGATTTGCGTGAGTACACGACGCGAAGCAAGTGGGGACCGTTCCGCGCGGACGGCAGTGGTAAGGTGGATTGGGAAAAGGTGGAGGCGATTCTGTTGGTGCTGAGGACAAATATCAAGCTGAAGGAGCTGGATAGGATCCCGATGGTGGGGAATGTGTGGAACACGCCGTTTGCGGGATGTTGGGAGGGGAGTCTGTGTGGGTTGCCGAGGGCGGGGGATAACGGGAACAACAGCAGTTCGACGACGACAACAGACGGGGACGGGCAGGGACAGCAGGGACAGCAGGGACAGGCTGGTGGTGGTGGTGGTGGTCCGATGGGGGTGGGGAGTGGTTATGCCGGATGGTTTTTGTGGGGGAATAATACGAATACGCAGCATGAGGATTGGGATTCGGATGTGGCGAATGATGGGGCGGTGGATGATATGGAGGGGGAGGAGGAAGAGGATGGGAATTTTGCAGAAGAAGAGGAGGAGGAGGAGGTGGTGGAGGAGGAGAATAGGGATATGAAGTTGGAGATGGAGGATCCGTATGGGGTTTCGGGAGTTTGGTTGAGGGTGGTTTGTTTTTTGGGTGAGTCTCTCTTGATCGAGAGTATGGGGATGAAACTTGCTAACATATTGTGATAAAAAAAAGACTACACCGACTTCTTCTCGTTCAACTTCCCCGACGATAATATGCCGTGCCCCGAGAGCGTGCCGAGGCCGCCCTTGGACGTGGGCGAAGCAACCAAGTTGCTCATGATGAAGATCCACGTCACCAGAATCGTCTACCCCGAGCCAGGAACGGAGATCAAGGGGAAGATATGGCCCATTGTACACTGGAGGGGGTACGCTCGGTCATTCGATGGGTCTCCTGGAGAGGCGCGCCTCACTTGGGGATTGAGAGGTGAGTTCATAACTATTGACCATCCGGACTTTCTTTACAAAGATGTGGATGGATGGCATATTGACAAGGGCAAGTTGTAGGAGTCGTGCAAATGACGCCCGAGGGCGAGGTCCGGTGGACGACATCTTCGCTGTATGATGGCGAGGAGAGATGGCGGAGCGAGGGGATCCAGATTGGAGGTGTCAAGTCTGCTCGTGGAGTGGTTGGGAATTGGTTTGACAAGTAGGTTATCATGTCATGTCATGTCCCCTCTTTGTCTCTGGATGTTTGTTGACCATGTTTTTTGATTCTTGTAGGGATTATAACCCCCATGGACCTTGTGGGCCTACGGCGTTTTGGAAGATATCGGATCTGGAGGCTGCGAGGCCGCGGGCCGGTCATGGCGGCGGTCAGTAGGGGTCGTAGCAGTTATTGTCACTTTGTATGTCTTTCTTTCTTTGAGTATTGTTTTGAATCGTGGATGGCTAACAAATCGAGGCTTAAACATAGCATGGCACCAAGTAAGCTTTGTGGAAACGGGACCATAATAACACACAGATACATACACACATACACACACCTTGCCTTGCATTTTTTTTTTTTTTTTTTTTTTTTCATATCGTTTGTAACTACCATCATATTTGCCAGCAAATATCTACTTACACCATCTAACACATATCCTTCCTACTCTCTTCCCAGAAGAAAGAATCTCCCCAATCTCATCCTATAAAACCAAACCAAAATCAAAGCTTACTCCCCCCCTCCGCCCCATCCGTATTCACCTTGCCATGCTCACAAGTAGCCACCAGCGCGCCATCCACCGCCCTCCTCATCTTGCCACTAATACTCGCCATCCGCTTACCGAGCGCCACCACCTCGCACTCGATAAACACTTCGGTGCCCACGGGGACAGGCCGCAAGTACGTCGTGTTTAAAGACCGACTGACGCCCAGAGAGTACCAGAACCCGGGGCGGGAGACGAGCGCAAGCGGCATGCTGGTGCAGTAGTCGAAGAGAGTGGCGATGCAGCCGCCGTGGAGGGTGCCGTTGCGGTTGCAGTGGGAGGGTTGGACGGTGTAGCGGAAGTAGGACTTGGGGTGGGGGAGGGAGGAGTCGGCGGAGATGAGTTTTAGGTGGGGGAGGAGGGGGGTTGTGTAGTCCTGGGGGTTTGTTAGTTTTATATGGTAAGGAACTATGGAAAGGAAAAGGTAGTTGGTGAAGAGTGACGCACATGATCGCTGGTATCACCGCTAGAAGCTTTCTCGAGTTCTCGTCGGTGCAATTCGAGTATTCGTTGCTCGCCCGTGTATGGCAATAGACTTGGGTCGACGGTGCTGCTTGGTGGTTGTGCTGGTGCGGGTGCTGGTACTGGTGCGGGTGTTGGTGCTGGTGGTGCTGCACTTCTTGGAGGCTGCTGCTGCTGCTGCTGCGGGTGACGACTTTGTGAATGTTGACTTTGTGGATATGGTGGTAGTAGTGCCGGTTGCTGAAATTGCTGATATTGTTGGTGTAGATGGTGTAGATGATGCAGATGATGATGTTGATGTTGATGTTGACCACCACCACCGCTCTTTGGTGGTGTTGCTGGTGGTGGTGGTGGTGGTGGCGGTGATGCCGACCCCTTTCTTCCTTCTTGACCACCGGCCATAGTATTTTCTTGCTCCTCTTGGGATGCTAACGAAACAACAACGACTTCAGATGTCTTTACTGGGCGATGATAAGTACGGATGGTCATTTTATCTCCGTGACCGAGAGACGATAAGACGGGAAGGGAAGGGAAATAATAATGATAAGATTGTGGCTTGCAGGTCCGGTGTTTCACTGTGCCGTGCCCGTAATGGGATGCGCGGCAGGGAAGGGCGGTTGTAGATTTCCGTTAGTAGAGGTAGGTAGTCTCGTAGTGTATCGATGTAGGTAGAGGTAGTTGTCTCCTCGGTCGGTGTTAGTAGTAAGTAGTACCACACACACACAACCGGCAACAAGTCAAAACAGGGAAGTAGTAGGTAATTTATCAATGTAGTGTTACCGGCGGTACAAGTAGTAGGTATGTGTAAAAGAGCGGGATGGAAACAAGACCGACAACGGATGACAACTCGACGAAATCGAACCAAAGCAAAAGAGGGGGGTATCCATGCCTGCCTGCCGTTGACTACACTACACATCACAGGTACAGGGGGGGATGATTGGGGTAAACTGTACACTAAAAACTGGCGGGTATCCGTTGCAACCCATTTCTTGGGGTACATGAATGAATGACCTGACAGCCTCGGCTACCTGGCAAGGTCCAAATGGCGGCGGCGGCAAGCAAGACAGCGACGGGAGCACCCACAGGCCTCCACTGCGCTGCCCGACTTTCAGCTGTCCACTCACAGTGCTACCAAGTGCCACTTTTGATGCGTCGCGGCATCCACTCCTTGGCCCCCCGGTCTGAGTCCCCCCCTTGTTCGAACTTCCAGGAGGTAGGTCGAGGTCCAGGTCCAGGTCCATCTCGCCCCGTTTCTTTCAATTCATCCCAATTATATCGTGAACTTGGACATCAACAAATCCATCCATGGAAACCACGACGGCGATATAATACTAACAAAGCGTTACACCGACTCCGTGTAATTGCGCGCCGCGACACTGGAACCCGAAAGAGAACCTCGAACTCACCCCCTCTCAATACAACACCGGCGGGAGCCTATCCCATCCCATCCCGCCCCCAATAACTCACCGTCACCGTCGCAACAACCATGGAATTCGTCACCGCCCTCCGCGGCACCTTCGACGACGGCAAGCCCTCCCTCTTCGAGCTTCTCTCGGAACAACAACTCGCCTCCCTCCTCCCGCCCACCCTCCGCTACCTCCTCACCGTGCTCACCCACCGCTACCCCCGCCACCTGCTCCGCATCCTCAACTCCTTTGACGAGCTGTACGCCCTCGCCGGCCTGCTCGTCGAGCGCCACTACCTCAAAACCCGCGGCGGCAGCTTCACCGAGCACTTTTACGGCCTCAAGCGCGAAAAGGCGCTGGCCGCCGAGATCCCGCGCGCGGCTTCTTCGGCGCCAAACCTCGTCCGCGACGCCCTCAAACTCTCCGATGTCGACATCTGGAAGAACCTGGCCGTCATGGTCGGGATCCCTTACCTGAAACGCAAGCTGGACGAGGCCTACGAGATCGATGCGCCGCGCGCCATGTTGGGCGGGCAGTACACAAGGCCGCCTGCGAAAGGGGCACCGATGAAGGAGCGGTTTTTGTACTACTACCGCTGGTTTCTAAGAAAAGTGTACCCGAGCTTGAACGCGGCGTATTACTTTGCCATTTTGGCGTTTAACTTGGGATATCTGTTTGACAACACAAAGTACCATAACCCGTTTTTGTGGCTGATCGGGACGCGCGTGCGACGGATGAACGGGGCGGATTATCAGGCGATTGAGGCTTTGGAGAAGGCAGCGGGGGCCGCCGCCTCCTCCAGATTATCAGGGGGAGGGTCGATGTTCAGTCCGAGGAATATGAGTCGACGGCTGATGGGGGGTCTGTCGCTGGTGCTGCCGACGAGTATTTTTGCGCTCAAGTTCCTTGAGTGGTGGTACGCTTCGGATTTCGCCAAGCAGCTGAGTCGCAAGGCGGCGGAAAGTCTGGATCTGCCGCCGCCGACGGTGACGGGGCTGGTGGAGGCGCAGGCGAGGAATAAGCCTAAACCCAAGATCACGAGGACGTCGGAGGATGGGGTGGAGGAGAAGGCGGATGAGGATGATGAGGCAGAGGAGGAGGCCAGCAGCAAGGAACCAACGCCCGAGACGGCGCCCATAGCGGCTTCGACGCTGTTGCCCATCTTCACGGTGCCACCGCCCAAGAGATCTGATATGTGCCCTATTTGCGAGGACGAGATCCAGACGCCGGCGGCGTGTCAGACGGGTGTGGTCTACTGCTTTTCGTGCATACACAAGTGGATGAGCGGGACCCATGTCAGGCAGGAGAAGTTCATGACCAAGGAGCGCGAGGGCAAGTGGGAGAGCGGAGAGGGGAGATGTGCCGTCACAGGAAGGAAAGTGTTGGGAGGGACCGAGGGGCTGAGGCGGATCATGGTTTAGCCAGAAGGAAGATATTGGGGATAATGAGCAGTACCATCGGATTGGCATGAGTTTCAAAAGCGAACATTAGACATATTTAATGGCATATAATCCTGCAGGTTGCATAACCAACATACCGACGAGCATGTGAAATTGCACCATGCTTGCTGGTCAGACATTCAGATTCCTCTATCATACTATGTATGTATGGCGCATGAAATGTGAACAATAAATTTTTTTTTCTTTCTTTTTGGATCTCCAAAACGGGTGGTTCATGTACGAACAACAAGTGCTGATGGAAAAAAAAAACAAAAAGAATCAAGTCAATCAACAACACCACTGCAGGATAACTCAATCATCATCCGTACGTACTTTGTGAGTAAAAAAGGCAAAAGAAAATGCGGTTTGTGTGGATCGAACACACGACCTTCAGATTTATGAGTGAAGTGGACTTCAGTCTGACGCTCTCCCAACTGAGCTAAACCCGCTGTGTTGTTGGATTTCTAGTACTGGATCTGAGCCTATAGTGTAGCATACAGTGGGTACCACCATACTTGCCATGTTGACCATACTTGCAATGGAAATGGAATTCCCATCTTCTGTAGGTCTGTCTACGTCTTTTCTTGACGATAATTCCCTTTGTGTTTTCGAGTAACTAGCTAGCTAGCTAGCTAGTGAGCTATAGGTTGATGATGATAGCGCCATCTAGTTGATTTGCATAAAACCTTGTGGCAAATAGCTATGGAGTTCGGTAGGAAACATTATTGTGATGTCTCTCACTATAATGTCCATAAACGGGCCACCAGTGAATAAACCGCCTTTCTCTGCTAATCAGAACGCCACCCATTTCGACCAAGTAGGTGTGTCTATGGGCGAGAGAGCAGGGGGGTAAATGGATATGAAAATGAAATTGAAAAATGAAAATGCATAAAGTGTATATATATATCTCGAAGCTCCCCTGTGAGGGTAGAAAGAGAAGAGAAGAGTGATATCTCGTTGCAAATGCCCTTTAGAAAGAAAGAGAAAGACAGAAAGGATATATCTCCTTCCCGGAAGTTCCCGTTGCCCGTCTCCATCTCTAGACTTACTCTACGGAAAGCTCAAGCTCATAGCAAGACCACCCACCACACCACACCACCCTGATTATCTTGTCGTCCCGCCTGCTTTGAGCGAGAAAGTAAGAGGAGTAGAAAAACCAACGAAAGCAAAGCAAAGCAGAGAAGAGAAGAAAGGTAGCTTCGACGTCCGTAATAACCCGTCTACATATGTTGGGAATGTAAAATCTAGCCCGAGCCACTGCAGTGTAATTCGTTCCCCGTTTCCCCGTCGCGCCATGCCATGTCATGATATCTGCCCACCCAGTCAGCCAGCCCCGGGACGCAGAACTCCTCTTTGCTTGCAAAACCCATGCACGCATGATACCCGATCCGTCTGTCTATCCCGTCTTTGAAAATAAGAAGAAAAGAAAAAAAGAAAAACGATAATAACAAAGTGACCAACCATTCATTCATTCATCCATAAACCGCATCGAGGCAAGCCAGTCAGTCAGCAGCTCACTTGAAAAGACTCCGCAAATCCATCAACCGCTGCTTTGCCGCATCCGTACGATCCATCACCTGTCCCTTATCCCTACCATCCATACTCAAGCTCGCCAACTTCTTCTTCTTCTCCTGCAACCTCAACATTTTCTCCTCAAAGCTGTTCGCCATGATATACCTGACCGTACGCACGGGCCGCTTCTGACCGAGGCGGTGCACGCGGTCGACCGCCTGCGCCTCCGCCGCCGGGTTGAACTGGGGCTCCATCACGTACACGCTGCTGGCCGTCGTCAAGTTGAGGCCGAGACCGCCGGCCATGATGCTGACGAGTATGACCTGCACCGAAGGGTCCTCGCGGAACTTGTCCATGGCTGCGGTGCGGGCGGTGCGCGTCATCTTGCCGTCGAGGCGAGTGAAGGTGATGCCGGCGTCTTCGAGGGCGAGTTCAATCAGGTCGAGATGGGAGGTCCAGCCGGAGAAGACGACGGACTTGTACGGCGGCTCGTGGGGCGCCGCCTCGCTCTTCTGCTTGTCGGCTAGAAGCTCGGCAACGAGTGCGCGAGTCTTGGTGTGGGGTCCTGAGTAGGCGGTGAGGTCCTGGTTTGCGTCTCCGTTCTCGACCTTGGCGGTTCTCGATTCGTGTTCGGCCATGGCACGGGCACGGTGGAGTTCTATGCAACCAGGCCGGGTCATGCCAGAGCACGTAGAGCACGCTTCGTTTTTGATGTGGTCCACGCATTTGTTGCAGTAGACGTGGTAGCAGTTGGCCTTGACCATGTACCCGATGATGTCCTCCTGACGCTCAGATTCGACGTCCACCACCTCGTTGGAACCCAGCTTCGTGTTGCACCTAGCACAGTTATCGCTGTTTCCTTCCTGCATCAGGTAGAGCATCTCGTAGGCCTTGCTCTCAGATGGGACAGGCTGGCCGGAATCATCGTCACTATCGATATCAATGGCCGTGTCTGCCGTCATTCCCTGGAGCTCTTTAAGGTCTTCTTCATTGAGGAGATCCTTGCCGTGAGCACAGATAAGGCGAAGCTGCAAGATGGAACGCAAGATGTGAATCATGGTCTTGCCTCCAATAATGCGTTCCTGACCGATGGCTTGACCGGTCAAGACCGAAACTCGCTCCTTTGCGGTCTTTGCAAACCAGTCATACACCCGTTGCTCCTCGGGGGTAAAGTCAAGCCTGATTATCTCGTCCGTTCGTGGCGGAAGGTTGATCTTGTCCTTCAAACGACGCAACGTTATCGTGTCGATGAGGACGCGAAGCTTCGGCACGATTTCGGGATCGGCATTCTTGAACGGAGCAATTATGTATTGCAAGAATTTGATCTTCTCGTCAAAGGGCTTGACGCGCAGGAATGCTAGGAGCGAGGCCAGATCCTCGAGCTTGTTCTGGATTGGCGTACCAGTGACTGCCCAGCGGCGGCTTGCTTGAAGCCGGCAAATCGACTTGAACGCCAACGTGTTTTGCTCTCGGATCATATGTGCCTCGTCCAGCACAATGCGGAACCAAGCTATCTCCTCCAAGGGGTATATGCCAGCCTTGTTCTTGGCGCGGGCGTTGAGTTCGCTTGAGATCGATCCGTAGGTCGTGATGACGAGGTCGTACTGGGCCAGTTTCTTCACGTCCTTCACACGGTTGGGACCATGATAGATGTGGTAAGACAAGGTGTCGGGTTTGATATGCTGCTTGATCTGCTCCTCCCAGTTCGTAACCGTGCTCAGTGGGCAAACCAAGAGGGTTGCCTTTCCATTCAATCGCACCGGCGTTAGGCCCATGGCCTGAGGTTTGGGCACCTCAAAGTATCTCGCTGCATTGGGCTGTTTCTTTTCGGGCGGCTTTGGCGGCTGCACAGGAGCTTCAAGACTCCAAGCCGCAGCCTGGTCCATAGTCTTTGTAATGAGTGACAAGATGCTCAATGTCTTGCCGAGACCTGATTGTGAACTGTTAGTCTAAACATTCGAAATGGGAACGGACGAACTTACCCATCATATCCGCCAGTATACCTCCCAAGGCTGGCGGCGGACGCTCTCTCTGGTTCTGCATAGTGACAACGTTGTAATAAAAATCGACTCCGCGCGGATCCTTTCTGCGCTGCCAAGTGGACCGTGTGAGTTTGTCACCGTAATCCTGAATCAGGTCTTTCTCACGTTCAGTCATAAAGTAAAGGGCTTGCTTCTGATGCTTCAGAAGCTCAGTGGTAATACGCGGGTCTGGCTCCATCTGCTCCAAACTCTCAGATTTCGGAAGTGAGTCAAAGACGCTCATTACTTCGCTGCGAATCTCCTCAACGGTACGGACGGTTGCCGAATGATGCAAAGAATAGGAATTTGTTCCACCCAAGCTGTTAGCTCGGACCGGAGGGGCCGGCCTATTCTCCTTCGCATGAGGGTTGAAGACCTTGATGCCGGGCTCGACGCGTGGCGGGCTAAGAAGGGCGAGATGATGTCTAGCCAGGTGGTTTCCGATCTGAATCGCAAGCTTGCGAGGGCCGTAGAGCATGAGCTCGAAAGGGACTGCCGCCGAGATGGGCTCGCCAGTTTTCTCGTTGGGGCTGCTCTTACGTCTCGGTGGGATCCTACAATCAGTACGTATTCCCATGGCAGATGTCAGGAGGTTCCCCAGGCAATACGACGTCTTAGCGTCAAGATAACCAAAGACGACGCGAGTGCAATCGTAGGCAGGAATCCTATTCGTGTCGGTGTCATCCACTCGCTTTCTGAGTAGGATTTTGATCTGCGGCCAGTATCCGTCGCCAAGAAGAGACACCATGCCAGGCTTGGGAGCAGGGACTCGGTGGCAGTTGATGGTAGTTCCCTCGATCATGCCGTAGCAGACTTCTTCATCCTTGGTCAGGTCGAGCTGCTGTCGAGGTTGAGCGGTTTCTGAGTCGCCCTCAGTCAAGTCCACTGTCTCAGTCTGCCTCGTCATCATTGCCACTGGCGTAGAAGCCCCCGGAGTGCCATTTTGCCCGAACTGATCCGCCAGCAATCCAGTGCTGGTCCCTCCAAACGTGTTGGTACGCAAATGGTCATTTTCGTTGTACGTCTTTCTGCGCTTCGGCTGGGGCACCGAGATGCGGTCTGTGACATTGTGGAGTCGTTCAACCTGAGAACCGAAGCCGTTTTGGAAAATGGGAAAGGTGGGCGTGTTGCGCACATGACCATGCAGGGTGGCGCCATAGGGCAGGCCGGAGAAGTCGATATTCAGCGTCTGGTCATTAGGACTAGTGAACTGGAAGGTCGGACTTGAAGGCACACTCTGGATCTGATGTGCAGATGAGGGTTGCTGAAAGGAAGGGGATGCCCCAGACTGCGAGGTTAGGTCTGAGGTTGAGGAGGCAGCAGATGAAGCGGCTTTGGGGTTCAGGAGCGCTTCCGGGTTCCACGACATGCTGTCGAGCTGCCGCCGCGATACTGTAGCGAGCGATGTGTGGTATTTTGCCTGATTGTTGTTAATTTTGGTCAGCACTGGGTAACTTTTGACAATCGCGCAATGTAACTAAAAGTCGAAGATTTCTGGTTTGCAGGAAGAAGTGAGAGGACGGGATTTTGTGAGTCGGAAAGTGAAGGTTGGAAAAATGAGAGAGGCGGGGGGGAGAAGAGACTGAGTGAATCAAAAGTATCCGCACCGCACCGCACCGCACCGCACCGCACCGCAGGCGGGCATCTGGTTCGGGTGGGTGGGTGAATGGATCAAACAACACTTACTGGCGGTTGAGTAGTCGTTGGTGTCGGAGCAGATTCCGCTCGTTGGAGTTAGTCTCGGATGCCAAGACCGAGATGTCGGGTCGATCTGGAAGTGGATTTTGATATTATTATCGCCTTTTGACTTGTTCATCTATGGTTGCCCGTTGTTGCTGTCCGGCACTGAACGGGGCGAAAACAGATGGCGGCGACGTGCAGCAGCAGCAGCAGCCTGTGGCTACCTACCTAACCGTTCCCGCTGAGAGGCGACGATGCAACCGTCACCGTCATCACAAGCACAAGGGGGAAAAAAAAAGTTAATCGCAGCGGCGTACTAACCTCCACCTCAGCGGCAGCGGCGGGAGGCTGAGTGATGAGGGACGATCCGGAATGTTGTGTTGTCTCGTAGTGGTGGTGGTTGGTAGCAGTGGGAGGATGCACAACAGGCAGTTGTTATTACCTAACCTGTGCTGTAGTACCCGACCCGGTATATGTAATGTGCCTCTATCTCTGCACCTTCACTACCTATCTGCGGCTGCCGCGCATGTACCGAACCGATGTCGTGCAAATAAAGTAGAGATCTGTGATGGAGTGGCACGCGCAAAGTGAAGCTGTTCTGAATGCACCAAGGTACCTCTGAATATCGTCGACAACAGTCCGCGCGCAGAGACGGGACAAGTGTTTGGGTCGTATTGATAAAGCGATCAGATGCGAGATGCAGACAGGGTTATAGCCAGTGGCCCAGGTCCGGTCCGGTCCAGTCCAGTCAAGGTTGGGTGGATGTAAATAGTGTATGGATGGGGATGGATGGATGGTAAAAGGAAGAAAACAAGAAGAGGTTGGGAAGGGACGAGAGTTGCAGCCGGTGTAAACTAAAACTCCTGTTGCCTGGAACACTTGGAGAGGGTAAGCTATCGGCAATTTGGATTTGTCTGATGTTGAAGCTGTATTGGATCCCATGTGTCTGACGGAATCTTCCATTCCTTTATTCTGCCCGTTTGAGATGCGATAGGCGCGTGACCCTCACAGACTGGAGTAGATACGGCAGCACGTGCCACGAGACACTTTGTGCCCTGTAAGAACCGTATGCACTGCAAGTCACGGGGCATTTTAGCGCGACCTGTGCCTGGTGATGGGCAGAACTTTACCAAAGCCGCTATCTTACACTTCGATTCGTCTCATCCAGGTGAAAAAGTGGTGCGTTTCCCGTTGGTTGGGCAGCCCAGATGACTTTCATCCCGATCGTATTCTTACCTACCTACCTTGGGACGAAGAATCCAAGGCAGGGGTACACAAAGAGGAAATGTACAGGCAAAAGAAAGATGCAGTGCTATAACTAATTCTTCTTCCAACCCCACTGCACCATCCGTAAGATCGGTAGGTACCTCTAGGCACCTAACCGGATACCATCATCAACCTAACTCCGATCATCCAAGACAAAATAACATGCCCGACTTCGATCGATTGCCATGATGATTCCTCGCTTGGCGCGGCTAAGTAGTTAAAGTATTTATGGAAGGACTCCCCCGTCGTCGTGCGAGAGAGATATTTTTTTCTGCCATCTCATCTTGGTATGATTATCGTGTTTCTTCCTGAAACAAATCAAGTACCACTGCACTCACTGTACGTGTGTACCTCAACGACATCGGACGTTAACTCGCACCGACCGACACTCCCCTCTTGAATCTGGACAAGAACTTTTCTTTTTTTTTTTTTTTTTTTTTTTTTTTTTTTTTTTTTTTTTTTTTTTTTTGGAGATGAACCACCAGCCGTGCTACAAAACGCCCGCCCGCGTACCATTTCCCGCTTGCCTTGTGTTCCCCCAACTTTGCCATTGTTTCTTTTGTTGTTTTTTTCGGTAACCATACCCGAGAGAGGTAACATTGCACGATTAGAGGCGTTTATAATTGGACTTTTTGATTACAAGCCTCACCGCATTTTGAATTGCTTGGTTGGTCAGTTGGTGGCCACGGCACACAGTTCCTCGAGATTTTTACGTCATGTCAAGGGTTCCTAGCAGACATGATTGCTGGCAAAGCTGTTTGGTGACAACTTGGAAAAGATAAAAAAAAAAAAACAATAAAACAAAAAACGCTGAGAGTAATAACCCTCACCGATATGACGGATCCATGGGACGAAAGGGGACTTTGTGCAACGTAATAGCTGTGACCGGTCAGTTTCAGGCTGGGACTCGGATTATCAGCTGGAAATCGTCCAAAAAACGCTCGGAGCTCCAGTCTGTGATGCAATAGCTACGTCTCAAGGGAAAAAGTCGGCCAAGCTGGTCGGCTACCTAGGTCGGGCAGTATTCGTAACTTCGCCATATCATGGAGTTGGAAATGCTCTGGAACAGCAGCACCGCCATGTTGTAAACCTCGCGTGAGATGGTTGACTTGGGCTGGCCGTGTGCGAGTGTTCCTTCAAGTGTTGGATATTGTTCCATTCTCAACGTCGTCTGGCGGGACATTGTATTCTTCCATAACGTCTAGATGGACATCAATAGTAGTGTGCGATGCGCCTTTTTCGCCTAGCATCCTAGAGTGAACGCTTTCCCCCCTCAATGTGCCAACAGGCGTTGTTCTGCTTCCAACACTATATCGTGATATCATCCATAATGCCTCCAACGACTGTTCTTCTTGCTCTATCTCTAGCCATCCGTCGCCCGTTTTAATATGTTGTTGTACAAGGTTGTAATAGTAATAGTACACTGAATCGAATCGGTATCGTGGGTCGTATATTCCGACGTAAAGGAAGGAAGGGGGTCGAGTCGAATCGAATTCCGTAAAGCCGCATTGAGCCGGTGGTGTTTCTCCAATACCATCCACCACAGTCCAATCAAGCCTTGGTGCCCATGACCTCCTTGACGATCCTGGCAACAAGGGTCTTCTCGACATCCTTGCCATCGAGACGTCCGCCGGGGCCTAGAAGCTTCTTCATAACCTCGCCCATCTTAGCATCGACACCCTCGGCCGCCAGCTCCGACTGAACCGCCTGGACCATATCCTTGAGCTCCGCCTCGTCAACCGCCTGGACGCCGCTACCGGCAACGTATTCCTCAAGGACACGGATCTGCGCCTCCTCCTTCTCGACAAGGTCACCACGGCCGGCGGCACGGAACTGGTCGGCAGCTTCCTGGGAGGTGCGGGCAGTCTTGCGGAGGAGGGCAACGAGCTGGGCGTCGGTCTCGATCGGCTGAGAGGTCTTGCTGGCGTTGAGAACAGCGGCAAGAACGGCGCGCAAAACGACCAGGCGAGGCGCATCCTTGGCGCGCATGGCGACCTTGAGGTCACCCTTCAGCTTGGCATAGAGAGGAGCGGGCGCCGGGGCAGCGTCGGAGGAGTATGCCCTGATGGGCTTGCCCGAGAGCTGCTGGGACCATCTTGTGGTGTTGGGGGTGAAGCGGCATGTCTGGCGGGAAGTAGAGCGAGCGAGGAAGCTTCCGATGAAGCTGGCGGGGAGACGGGCGGCCATGATGAGAGTGACGGGATACTAGGTACTCGTTCGGGAATGGGTGAAGGGAGGAGGGCGGCTATCGGTCGCTGAGGTAAAAGTGTCGAGATTACAGCGGAGAGCTGAGCTGATAGCTTCCCGTAACAGACCTAACAACGGTCCAGTCAAATCCGAGATCTCCATTTCGTAGTAGATGTGCTGTTGATTGGCTGCCCCAGTTATAAATTGGACCCTAACTGGGCTGTTGGGGGTCATCCCCGGCCTAGCCCGAAGCTATAGCGCCGAGACCTGATCGAGCTGGCGACGATGGTCCCGCCAAGGTGGGGGTTGCGCGGGTTAGGGTTGGCTTTTGGTCGAGTCTACTTGTATCTGAAGACGTGCAGCTGCATCCCGCCTTCGGACTTTGGATATGATGGATTCCTCCGTCACGATACCTACCTCTTCTCTGGCTTGTTGGGAAAATGCAAACCTGACACTACCGATGGCGGTATAGGTAGTGTACTGAGAAGAATCAGAGTTCCACCACATTGCAACCTTCAATAATCCGAATCCGAATCGCGCCGGACATTTCAAAGCTAAGGTAGGTAGGTTATTCAGGGCATTGCAAGGGTACGGTAGCCCAAGTGTGACCTAGGTCGTTTACAAAATTGGTCCAAGCTTCCAACTGTAGCCAGGTGAAGGGCAAATTACTGACACCCCACGCACATTCACACGCACACTCCTCCCTACTAAATGAATTGCTACCTTTCTATACCCTTTTACATTTATATTGTGCAACCAACGCTAATTGTTCTTGGTCGTTCCCCGCTACTATTTTATTACCGTCCTTTTTGCGTCCTTGCAAAATTCTAATTATACCTACCTACCATCAGTATTATCCCTACCAATTATATTAAAAATACCCCCTCCCTAGGAATTCAATAGAAATTTCCTCCCCACGCCCGTTAATAAATAGGATAATAATATAACGCCTATATAATAGACGGCGTACTTACTTAAGAAGTTAGAGTAATATAAAATAGGTTTTGCCTTTAAAATTTTAATAGAAAATAATATAAATTAAAATTATTTAAATATAATTAGAAGTAGTTAATCCTAATTAGAATTAATTAGATTTTAATATATTTGTAGGAGGCTAATAAAGTTATAAAGAATAGAGTTTAGGAGGTTATTATTTTAAAGATTAAAACCCCGGGTAATACTATTACTATTATATTCTACCTTTTCGTAAACGAAGCGCCGAATACCGAAAATAAAGAATATATTCAATATATATACCCTATAATTTTACGCCCTATAAAGTATTGTATTGTGCCGGAGAAGTATTTCCTTAGCGGCGTTTATATTTATTATTATTATACTAGTTTGGTTAGTAGATGTTTATTTAAAATGTAAGAGAAGGAGGAGAAGAAGAAGAAGGAATTGGCCGAGGATATTTAAGTACCTTGGATAGAGAAGAATAAGGATGAGATAATAGAAGAAATAATTTTTAATAAATTAGAAGAAATAGAGGAGGTCTTAGTAGAAGATAAGAAGAGATGTAAAGCTACTAAAGCTTTACCCCTTAAGCGTAAGAGAGATATTTAAAAGTACGCTATATATATTTTTTTCTTCTATTTATACTATATAATATTTTAATTTTTATTGTACTCTACTTTCAGTCTTATATATTCTTTTCGTATGTGATACATAATGAGTAATAATATATATATACTCTAATATAAATAAGATAAACAATTTTTTTTCGAATAGATTCTAGTTTGTATTGATTAGGATTAATTAACGTTGGTTGATAGTAAACAATTATTTTTACAAATATATAAATATAGTTGGTATAATATATAATAGATTTGCCTACTAGATAGATATTCTATATTTTAAAAATTAATATATATTTATAATATATATAATAGCAAAGATTCAAATATTTAATATACTAATATAAATAAATAAAATATAGTTTTTTATTTTTAAAATAAGAAATAAAATTTAAAAAAAAAATTAGGAAAATAATATATATTTTTATATAAATTCTTTTTAAATTACAAATTATATTAATAATTTAAGGTCTTTATTATAATATATTTATATTTTATATTTAATTATATATTAATTTAATAAAGAGAAATTAAAGTAAGTTATTTAAAAGAGGCTATTAAAAATATAAACTTCTTTTTATTAAAAAAGTGAAGTAGTAAAATTATTTTAAATATTTTAAATGAAAGAGGGTAAAAAATATATAAAAAGTAAAATATTTAATAAATATAAAAGTTTAAAATATTAATAGAAAGAATATACTATTTAGTATAAAAATATATATATATATATATATATATATATATATATATATATATATATATAAGAATAATAGTAGTATTATTAAATATATAAATAATTTTCAAAAAATACTTTATTATAATAGAAATTTTCCTTTCTATTAATTCTTTAAATATAATTATATAGAATACTTAATTATAATAGTTATACTATAAATATATTTCTAATATTCTATTTAATATATAGAATATTCTTTTATTTTTTTAATAATCCAACTTATATAATATATATTTTCATTTTATAGTATTATAAAATTTATAAAAAATTATTTATTCTACCGTTTGAACTTTATATTTTTTAGGAAACGTAGAAATAGTTTTTCTTAAAAATATATAAATATAAAATAATAAAGAATCCATTTTTTTAAATAAAAATCCTTTTTTAATATTAAAATAAATAAAATTTCTTTTTTAAGAAATAAAATAGTTATTATATACTTTCTCTAAACTTTTATAATTTAAAAAATATGAAAATAGAATATAATTAGCTAATATAAGGGATTACTTTTATTTATAATAATAAATAAAATAAAAATAGAAAATTTTATAAAAAGAAAAAAGGCTTTTAAATATGTAATTATATATAATAAATATATAATATATAGAATTAAAATATAAATTATAGGGTAGTTTAAATATTATACTTTAAATATTTAAATTAAATATAATATAAAAACTATTATAATAGCTTAATTAAATTAGAATATTATACTTAATTAAAGCTATAATATAAATAGGTAGAGTAATTTAAAAACTTTAAAAAAATTTCTATTATTAATTTAAGATATTAAATTTCAATTATTATTTTTTATAAATAAAACTATAAATATAATATTAATTTAACAATTTAAAGTAAAGAATAAAAAAAATCTAATATTATTAGCCTTTTTATACTTTTTATTTTAATTAAATTATTTTTCTACTTATAATTTATTTTAAAATTCATATATTATTAATAAATTCTTTAAAAAAGATAGTAATATATATATTAAAATTTTAATTTTGATTATTTATATAAAGAAGATTAAATAAACTAAATTAGAATTCTAATATATAAATAATTATTATATATTATTATATATTAATATAATATAATATAAATAAAAATATTAAATATATATATATATATTATATAATTTTCTATAATATTTTAAATAATAATATTTTTTATATTAAAAAATAAAATTAATAAAATTATTTATAATATACTATTAAATCCTATATTCTTCTAATGAATTAGGGAGCCTATATATTATAAAACTTAATTAAGAAAATTGGATTTTTTTAGCGAAATAAAACTATACGAAGTACGATTAACTACTTTTGTTTTCAAGTAATCACTATTGGTTATAGTTAGAACCAAAAGACTGCAGGCGTTTCTACTAAATCTGTACTTTAAATATTAATTCTCCAATATAGTATTCCACTCCTTTATACTCCAGTCTTTTCCTAATAAGTTATCTCGCTAAAGACATACAGATACCCACTTATTACTATAGGTCGTAAGGTAATTGATTTTAGGCCCTATACCGATTTCCTTTAGTAGGCTTATAATAATAAATTTAACTACGAATAGATATTTGAAAGCTTGGAGTAAATATTTGGATTCTAAGTTGGTCGGATAATATTGAATAAATTCCTCAAAATATTCGATACAACCTCTAATTATAGATTAATAATAATTATTAGTAATAAATTTTGCAATGAGATTAGGACTATTACTTAAGAATAATTAGTAATAGATATAGAATTCTATGTTTTATTAGAAGATTATAGTTTTATAATTTTAAAGATAGGTATAGTACGATTGTATTAACGTTTTTAAATTTTAAAGAAGTATACGCCCGATATATTGGAGGAGAAGCTTATTAAAGTATGTGTTATTTTAGAAGGTGTTAGAGAGTTTGATAAAGTGTATTTTATTTGGAAATTTAATAAATAGGAACTATAATTTTATTTTGTTAAATTCTTTAAATTTTACTTGCTTAGAGAACTATTCTTTGTTTGTTTTAAAGAATAATTCTTAGAGGTAGTTAAAGAGAAGTTGGAATTCTTTTAATGATGTTGAAGGGGGTGGATTGTATTGGGTCCTAATTATATATAGTATATTAATGTATATTTGAAGTTGCGGCGGTTTAGTATTGAGGTTTACGTTGGGATAGATGTGTATTTACGATATGTCCTATGGTTTTATACCGGCGTATCTATAATAATAGCGAGGTTGGTATTTTACTAGTAGATAGAAGTTATTAGGAAGTACGGGTTTATTCCTATATTTATACGAAGCGATTGCGGTAATAAAATTAATATAGTTGTTAGAAGCGTTTATTTTATTGTCTTAGGAAGTAAAATGTAACGGATCTTGAAGTTTTGTAGGTTAAGTCCTAATTCTATTGTTATTATTAAGGAAGGTGAAGGAGAGGGTGATTTTCCTATTTAGTATTATATAGTTTAAAAAGATTAAGTGTTATTGGTTTTTAGATTTAATTAATTATTTGAAATATAGGATATTTTTTTCCGAAGAAAGAGTATTAATAATTAGTAGATTGAAAGTTGGTGGAGGTAATTGTATAATAGTCGAGGGTTTTTTTGGATAGTAAGTTGGTTCTAAATATAATTAATTAGTATTAATTTAATATAAATAGGATTATTTCTATAAATTTAAATATATAGATGTATAGTTAGAGATAAGAATGGAGGACTAGATTGTTTTACTTTTTATTTTTATATTTTGAATTCGGATAGAGTTTATTAATTAAGTTAAATATTGGAATTAATATAGGATACGTCTTTAATATAACTGTTATTATA